AAAATATTAAAATATCCAAAGCTTGACAGCAGAGAACAGCAAAACCCTGCTCACTGCACACTATCTGTTATAAAACCCTTTTTGTCTTTGCTACATTTGAGCAAATCTCCCTGCTGGGTTTTCAGCAGGCTGATGTTGTGCAACATCTAAAACAATATACTAGGAGTAGATCCACATTATTGTACTAAGATTTGATTCAAGCCTTGTCCTTGATGCTCTGTGATGTTAAGCTCAAACATGCATTTTCTCCAGTCTCATTTCTGCCTGTTTCCAGACCTTTGTCTCATACCAGATGATGCCATAAGGTCATGTTATCTTCCCCAAGGGCTTGGGTCTAGAGTATGAGCCAGGAAAGCAACAGGTTTTAATCAGTAGCAGTTGAAGTAAAAAAATGGAAGATCAGCTTCTGGTGTTGTAATATATTACAAAACATCAGTCTTATCACTTTGCATAGTTTGTATGTGATTCACACTGTGACTGGTCCTGGTGGACAGGAGGATGACCATGAACCAGCAATGTGGCCTTGTAGCCAAGAAGGCCAATGGCATCCTGGGGTGCATTAGAAAGGGTGTGGTTGTAGGTCAAGAGAGGTTCTCCTCCCCCTCTATTCTGCCTTGGTGAGGCCACATCTGGAATATGGTGTCTACTTCTGGGCCCCTCAATTCAAAAAGGACAGGGAACTACTGGAAAGAGTCCAGCACAGAGCCACAAAAATGATTAAGGGAGTGGGGCATCTCCCTTATGAGGAAAGGCTGAGGGAGCTGGGTCTCTTGAGCTTGGAGGATACTGAGGGGCGACCTCATCAATGTTTATAAATACATTAAGGGTGAGTGTCAGGAGGATGGATCCAGGCTATTTTCAGAGATGTCCAGTGATAGGACAAAGGGCAATGGGTGCTAACTGGAACATAGGAGGTTCCATGTAAACATCAGAAAAAACTTCTTTACTGTGAGAGTGACAGAGCCCTGGGACAGGCTGCCCAGAGAGGTTGTGGAGTCTCCTTCACTGGAGACATTCAAAACCTGCCTGAACACGTTCCTGTGTGATGTGCTCTAGGTGATCCTGCTCTGGCAGGGGGCTTGAACTAGATGATCTTTCGAGGTCCCTTCCAACTCCTAAGATTCTGTGTGATTCTGTGACTGAGATCACTAGGCTATCTCATGAACCCCCTGACTGCAAGAGGGCTGTGAAGTGGTACTTTTGGGCTTTTTGGTCCTGAATCCTAAAGGCAGGAAAATGTACCACTTCTGGCAAATGGGAGCCCAGGGGCTAAATATAGTAACAAGCAAAGGGACAGCTGGAGATCCAGTCCCTCAGCTTCAATGAGTCATGTTTGAGGACACACTGCCAGGCTAAGCAGCAGCTGATGAAAGGGCTAGGATCCTTGTACGATGGCACATAATGGTGCCACTCCATCTCACCTGCTGTTTTGTATGTTCCCAGAGGGGAGTATTGAACTTTTCTGAATATGTAGCATGTTTCTACTAAAAAATAAATGGAAAAATAAAAAATACACAAAAAAGGCCAAGTATCCTAAACCCTGAGTCCATGCACAATATAATGCAATATTTTATATAGTTTAATTCTATTTATCAAGAGAGAGGGAGAAGAAACAGCCCTAATAATGAGAAGCGATAACAGTAGAAAAAAGGTAGGAGGTTGAAATGAGGAAGGAAGCTACTAATTCTCTGGCAATGAATTAATGTCTACATACTGTAGTATCTACTACAACATTATCCAGGCAATTAAGAGTTTCTAATAAACAATTCAGTGAAAGGTGATTGTACTGAGTTGTTGTTAAGACACTATCTCAAGACAGCAGGACCTAGAGACAGTTAAACACTTTCTGAATACTACTCACTACATTTAAATTCAAGGTCTCAAATCTTCTCTCTGGAAAAGGGCAAGTGTGGAGGTTATATTTCCCAAGTTGACTGTGGTGAGAATGATTCTAATTGTGTATGAGATCTCCAGTGTTGAGATCTCCAGTGGTAAAGTTTATTGGCAAAAACAAATTAAAGAGGGGGGTGAAGACAGAGGTTTCCAGGTGCTCTGATAGGTCAGTAATACTGGACAAGAAGAGCTGTGGCAGATTTTTAAAGTAAAAATAAATTATTTGCAAGAGCACTCTGATGTCAATAGCATTACATACCTTGCCTCCAGTAACACTCACCTGCTGTAGAAAAGTTCAAGTCTCTCTACCTAGATTTGATTTAAAAATTAATTTTCCCTTTTAAAGGAAGGGCTAAGACTTGAAAATATATTTTCTGCAGCCCAGCAAGTAGGTTCACTAATAACAACAAAGAGCAAAGACAGATTTTTTGCATTAGCGAGAACACTTTATTATTTCTCTGACTAACATTCTTTGCTTTCTTTGG